TCGGCGCCGCTAGGCGGAGGATTAGCCTAGTGAGCTGCGGCACCGGCCCCCTGGCCAACTTCTATGGACTGCAAAACCTGGAGCAAGTGACCTGGTTTGTTACAGAGTGAGCAAACTCATGTGTTGATGTCTTCATTTCCAGAGTTTACGGGTAAGTGAGAAGACAGTACATACAGGCACCATTGGTAAAAGAAAATTATCATGCTGGTTTTTGCGCAGAAAGGAGGAATACATTTAAGAAGTATGAGTATATATTTCTGCTAAGTGGAAATGCTGAAAGAATAAATCAGAAATTGCTAGTGGTGCTTGAATTCAGCTCCTCTAAAGAGCACGGTCCTCCTTGATCATACACACAGATGATATAGATGTTTATACACTGCAATCACTTGTTGTTTAAGATCATAATTCCAGGTGAAACAAACCACTAACTGACTCATATTCATTTTATTTTTTTCCAGATTCATTTTAAAAAGCAGTTTTACAAAAGGAAGAGAGGAGAAAGAGAAGGAACATAGGCTTTGCTTTGTGCCAAAGACCAAGGTAAGCAATGTATTTACACAAGCTCCTGTGAGGCAGGTACTATTTTGCAAATGAGAAAACTAGGGTCAAGTGTTAAGCAGCTGTAGAGTGTGGAGCTGGAGTTCAAGCTCACCTCTAAGTCCCAAGCCTTGGATCCTTTCCGTCACTGCGTGGCCTTCTGTATTTTGCCCTTTTTGTACTGACACGGTAAGGATGACCATGACTTCTACTCTACCATTAAACTTACTGCTATGACCTTCAACAGTACCCCCAGGACAGAACTTTGCTGCACACCAGCTGAGAACCTCTCCCTGGTTATAATTTCGATTATGGCAGTTCCATGATACAAGTCTTCAGCCATGAAAGTTCTATCCTCTGACTTGATTTTCACATATTTCTCCATGTATAACCTAATACTCCAAGAAATTCTGCACTTAAGTCTGAAGACTATAAAGATGCACAGGTTTATTTTGGTATGAATTGTTTTAATAAGTCAACCTTGATTTCAAACTACTACTACTTTCCATGCACAATACTTACAAGTCATGAAGACAAGCTGATAAGGTTAATATAATTTTATAGCAGGTTTTTAAGAAATTTTATTAAGGTCATTAGTTTCTCATTTTATCTTGGAGTTTGATACAAAAACCAAAAAATAAAACACTAGGACAATATGAGCTTACATGTCTTTGTAGAGTGAGGGGGAGATGTTTTCCATATTAGATTTTGCAAAGAAGTATAAAGGTACTTCAAAAAGTTCATGGAAAAACTAAATCAAAAGACACATTTATTTTAATGCAAACATTTTTTTTTATTTTACGCTTCATTTTTTTCATAATACACATTTTCCATGAACTTTTGGAAAATCTTTCATATGCAAACATTTAATGCTCTACGAATGAAAGTTTCTCAGGTTAGGTACTTGGCATGTATAAAAAAGGCAACACTTTCCTTTCCACACATCCCTTTACCAATCTTGGGCTTCAGTTCCATCCTGCAGGTGAGGTTGTCTACTTCTTTCCAATATGATGAAGGTATGCACAGGAGAAGGTGTAAGGAGGGCCAGAGTCACCGTCACATCTTGCTTGTTACATATTTTAGGGTTACACCGTCTGTTTTTGAAGCAGGTCTCCATTCCTCTTCTTTCTCTGAATATTGCTTTAAAGGTCATTTTTGTGTTAGTTAGCATTTGGTATAAGCTTCAGCTCATTGCCAGCCGAGACTGGGTCACAGCTTCAAGCTCCTTTCGCTGGTGCTGCAGTTGGTCAGTGAGAACGTGTCCCTCCTTGAATCTTATTTACATGCCCTTTTGAACCCTGGCACTAAGGATGAGTGCAACCATACAAGTGAAAATATTTCTGTAAGCCACTGTTGTTACAGTCTTAAATTTAAGTGACATGGTCTGATTGGTAGAACTTTAGGGTTTGAAAATATTACCCAAACATCATAGCATTAGCACATACTTCTCTGCCTTCCTTCCTCCTGTTTTTCATTCCCTGCTAATTCATGAATGATGAGAATGAGCACTGACCTTCCAAACAGAGCCTATCAGCACAAACACTACAGTGGGAAGAGTGTATCTCTGTTTCCATAACCTAGACACTCATCACACACATGCAGACAAGGAGACTTGCGTGACTGTCAGATGGAAAGTTGGGATTCTTTTTCAGGAGTCGACTTCTTCGTTTTGGAAATCCAATTTTGGGAGAGTTGAACTATAGAGCAGAAGCAAATCATTTGGAGGATAGGAGAAATTATTTGCTCCCCTGGGAACACAGTCATTTGCCCATCCTGCATCTCCCAGTGTTGTATGGGACTCATTTGATCTTTCCTCCCTTGTATAGAATCTATGTCAAACTTTCAATGTAAAGGGAGGTCAGTAAAAAATCAGGAGCTTTGAACACAAAAAGCCATTGATATGCTCGTCTAATCTTTTACAGGTCATTTTGCTTTTTGAAAGGTAAGATAATAATAAAAATATTTCAAGTAGATTTCTTAAATCACATCCAAAAAAACCCTCTATTTTTATTTTTAGTAAGAGATCATTTTCTTGGTAACACTGTCCATGCAGACATAATTTCTTTCTCAGCTGAGACATCTTCAGCTCTGCTTTGGCTTGCCTTACAACCAAGCAAGTATTTGCAAAAGGATTAAGAGTGCTCAAAACATTACAAGCAACATGGGCGGCACTCCCGACAGGGCATCGAGTTTGCACTCAGTTCCTTGCATTGCCCTATTACACGTGCTGCCTTTTTCATCAACCCTTTCCCACACCCATGCACAGGGAGTGAGGAAAGTAGGGTCTGATGTCACTTACTGTCCCTCCTCCCTGTGAAGCCTTTCCTTCTATCCTTTATTTTCAGCTTTACATAGAATTTTCCTAAGAATTAAAAAGCTTATTAGAAGAAAAATATCTACTCCTAAGACAGATTGTTTATTTTACAAGAGAAGAAATCAACAGTAGTTAATGTCTAATGGTAGAAATTGCTCTTTGGACTATGCTATGTCAAGGCCACTGTAGGAATGAGTCATAAATTGAACTCCTATTTTTTTATGTATGTACATATCTTTACAACTTGTTGTCTCTTCCTGACTAAGCAGATTGCTTCACACCAACAATGTGAAGGAATGAAAAAAGAAAGATATTAAGGGCACCAAGAACCTCACGAGTTTGTATTACCAGTATCCAATGTAGAACAGTGAAATTAATTCCTTTTTTTTTTTTTTGATTTATTTGTTTCTATAGACAAAAAATGTGGGGGCATTGACAAGGCCTCTAAAATTAAGACACTAAGGAAAAAAAGATTATCTTCTGTTATGGAAACTCAAAAATAAGCAAAATAGGTCAAAACAAAAAGAATGGAATCCCCTGTGGCACACCTCCTTGCAGATCTAGTCCTTGCTCTCTCACAAATTATAGAACTTCAAAGATCCCACATAACCTCTTTGAGATGTTTTTTCCCTATGTATAAAACTACAAAGTTCATCTAAAATATCTTTAAACTCCTCCAGAATTCAAACATACGATGTATCCAAAGCAGCTCCCAATATCATGGACTCAACGATCTTTTCTACTATTCTGACTTTCTACTATTTTGATTATGTGCCTTCCCTTTGTTGGCATTTGGTTCTTTTTATGACTCAATCGAAGAGTTGAAAATGGTGAAGTGACCTACCCAAAGTCACACAAAATACTCCAGATGAGGTCTAGAATTTTGCTTTATTTTCTTTTCCAAGTTCCTCTTTGTTTTTATATGTGGCCTTATTTAATGGTGTCATATTTATCACCCTGACAAGACTTTCTGGGTTCCTGCTGGGTGCACAGCAAGTTCCCAGACCCCATGGGAATTTATGTGGCTCACAAAAGGCATGACTCCCACACAAGCACTTTCAATCTAAAATGATCCCATCTGTTTGACCTTTTCAGTATAGTACACAAATATCTCTTTGTCCTTTGCTAAGTAAATAAAACAACTATAGTTCAATTTAAATGATGTTTATAGATAAAGAAATAAGAGATTCAAAAGAAGTTTGTCCAAGATCGTATGTCTAGAAATAGAATTCAGACTCTAATTTCTTCTTGTTCAACTTATTATTACCACTATTTTGAGAGGCAGAGTGACAGAAATGGAGGGATGGAGGGAGGGAGGGAGGGAAAGAGAGACAGAGACAGAGACAGAGACAGAGAGAGAGAGAGAGAGAGATCTTCTATCTGCTTTGTATCCACTGGTTCACTCTCTAAATGGTAATAGCCAAGGTTGGGCCATGCTGAAGCCAGGAGCTCCATCTGGGTCTCCCAGATGCCCAGATGCATGGCAGTGAGCTACGACTGGATGCCTTCCCAAGCACATTAGCAGGGAGCTGAATTGGAAGCAGAGTAGCCAGGACTCAAACCAACACTCTGACACGGGATGCCAGCATCAGAACTGGTAGCTTAAACTGTGGCTCTGCAACACTTGCCTCCCAAACCAATTCTTGATAAAAGAGTGTTACATAGTATTCCGTGTATCTGTGTGTGAGCATCTGTGAATTTATCCCTGCTTTCACTCTTGATTCTATTATTTATCTTGCTAATCTTGTCAAGGACAGCAATATAGTGGCAGCATTGTCCAGAGAGCATTAACATATTATAAATAAGAAAGACATTCTTGGATATTGAGCCCACACTTCCACCTTCCTTCAAATGGAATCATTTACGTAATGCCCCACACATGAGTGTTGCCTCTATTTACATATTTACCTTGGAAGGAATGCATTATTCCCTGAGCTATTTCACTTGAGAGGCTAGCTCTTATCATTAAAAAACACTATGCATCAAGATTCTAAACTTTGGATCTGAATCTGGCATCTCTAGCATTCAGATATGTCTATCAAGCCAGTGAAGGCAGGGTCAGGTTAAGCAAGGGAAGAAAAATTCAAGAAATGGAGTTGACAGAAAAGTAGTAAGACAGTGTCAGAGAGTCAGGTCATTTTGAACATACCACAGGGACAGTCTTCCAAATTTCACTATACCACCTGTATCTTCTGAGGCAGTAAATACACTGAAAAGAAGAAGCAGTGAATCAGATTTTTACACAAGACAGTAGCATCACAAGGTAATCCAATTGGGTATCGATGATGGGATCACAATGTAATTGTAATTGATTGAATCCAGTTTACACTAGGACTAAGATACAAGTTGACCACAATCAGCATGTCAGTGCTGAAATTCATTCTTGAGGGGCCTGAGCTGTGGCGCAGCAGGTTAACACCCGGGCCTGAAGCACCAGCATCCCATATGGACGCCGGTTTGAGACCCGGCTGCTCCACTTCCTATCCAGCTCTCTGCTATGGCCTGGGAAAGCAGTAAAGAATGGCCCAAGTCCTTGGGCCCCTGCACCCACGTGGGAGACCCGGAAGAAGCTCGTGGCTCCTGGCTTCGGATCAGCACAGTTCTGGCCGTTGCAATCAACTGGAGAGTGAACCATCAGATGGAAGACTCTCTCTCTCTCTCGCTCTCGCTCGCTCTCTCTCTGCCTCTCTTCTCTCTGTGTAACTCTGACTTTCAAATAAATAAATAAATCTTTAAAAAAGTAAAGAAATTCTGTCTTGAGCAGAGAGCAGGACTAGCCTACAACCAGATTGCGAAAGAACGGATGGTCATTGAGTTGCTCTAGGTTTCTCAGTACCCTCAACTACAAATACTGCCAGAGTGAATCAGAACGAGACAGGAGATACATGCCATGCAATGAATAATGGACCCCAGATGGGAGCTGAGATGCCTCTTCCACACATGAGTCGTCTGCCTGAGGACTCTCGGAGCTGTCTCAGAGGAATCTGAGAAGATCAGACATTCTCAACAGCAAGAAGGAACGAACACCACTGAGGTCCTGCTTCCCTCCCTCCCTCCCTTCCTTCCTTCCTTCCTTCCTTCGACAGGCAGAGTGGACAGTGAGAGAGAGAGACAGAGAGAAAGGTCTTCCTTTGCCGTTGGTTCACCCTCCAGTGGCCGCCGTGGCCAGCGCACTGCGCTTATCCGAAGGCAGGAGCCAGGTGCTTCTCCTGGTCTCCCATGGGGTGCAGGGCCCAAGCACTTGGGCCATCCTCCATTGCACTCCCCGGCCACAGCAGAGAGCTGGCCTGGAAGAGGGGCAACCAGGACAGAATCCGGCGCCTCGACCGGGACTAGAACCCAGTGTGCTAGCGCCGCAAGGTGGAGGATTAGCCTAGTGAGCCATGGTGCCGGCCGGTCCTGCTTTTCTATGTGGCCACATACGCATGGCAACCACAGCCATGCAATAGCAGTATGTGTGGGTACTATCCCGTCACTTTACGTGCTCTCACCCTTCACGTTGACCAAAGCACTGTGAAGTTGGAACTAGTGTCGTCTCCTCAAGGTTGAGGGCCTAATAAGGGTTCCCAACTCCATGGCCACTAAGATGTGAAACAAGGATTTGAAAATAGGTCTCTTTTCACCACGTCATGCTGTCTCCTGGAGTAACACAGAAAAAAACGTGGAATACATAAATATTAAATTGAAATACGCCTCCCTAAAGTGTTCACCCACTGATCTGGGTTCTGTCTTCTGGAACAAGATGACCTGGGCTCCTCCTTCTTCCACATAGCAGGTCCTCGGGGATTACGGAAACGCCCCTCACGGACTCCCCTGGTTTTTCCTGCTGACTTCAGCTGGGGCCCTGTCCAATTGCCTCAGCATGCTGGTCCTCAGCCCCTGGAATGTGAAATTTGCCGACGTCTCCAGCACTGTAGATGTTCTCTATCTTCTGCTACAAATAATTCCCATAGCACCACGGTGCTCTCCTGAGCCTTGAGGACTCCTCCATGCTAGAAAGCTCCCCATTTTCCCAAAGTTTGACAAGACACATCAACTCAGCATCACCCTCCAGACCCCCCTAGGAAGTGGACAAGGTCTCCGAAAGCCCATCGGGCCTGGCAGCTGAATTCTCTGGAGCCAGTTCACTGCCCCCCTAATGTAAATGTTATGATAAAATATTAAACTGTATGTATAATTGATGCTTACTTTATAGTAATTCAGGGTCTTGCTTGTTTGAATAAAATTCATTATTTACAATTTTTTACTAGAAGTGGTTTCTCTTTGTTGATGTCTCTCCTAATTGTTTGAACAAAATGACATATTTTCCTAGGCAACATCAAAATAATTATTATATTCCTCTTAGTTAGAAGTTAATATCTAAGCTTCTGATAGACATTGTTATAAATATCCATTTTTTGCTCAAGAAGAATACCTACATCTATGCTATGCAGAGATATTTATAGACAGATGTATTAGCCCAAGTGCTATTCTACCCATCATAGTGAGGAACCCAACTACTAGTTCCCATGTATCTGAACTCCACTACATTTGCCTAGGGCTCTAAAACCTGAGGTCAATGTTTATACATTAAGGGGCATGGGGAGGTATAGTACATTTACCTATTAAATTAAATATTTTTAACCATAATTTAAAACTTCAATATTAACTTACATTGAAAAGTAATATAAAGTTTCAAAAGTATACCCCTTGCATTCCTGTCTGTGTGATGTGGGAAGAAAGACGGCACACTGACATAGTCTGGAAAACTGCCAAGCCATCCACTCAATGAAGAGAAAAGCTCACGGGAAGATCCCCTGAGTCCCTCGAGGAGTAATATTGTAGAGTAGCTGAGAAAGGGAAAACCACTGCTACCCCTTCAGGAGTACATGCAATTTCCAACTATAAAAAAAGAGACTCATAATCTAAGTTAAGTTCTTTTCTACCATTCATATGCCATGAGGAGATATCTTTTTAGAACTGTTATTAACTTGTGGTGTAGATCACTCAATGATTAATAAAGACTAACAGCCATACAATCTCACCTAAAAGAGACATGTATTTTAGGCAAGACATGAAATTTCCTGACCCTTGTTCAACTAGAAGTGGCCTGGGAGACTAGTATAATAAAAAGCACAAAGCTTTCTTAAAAATTCCTTATACTCATGTATATAGAGGATACAATTGTTGACTAGTTTGTTATTTTGCTGGTTAAAACATATAAACAAAAGTCAACTAATTTAATCATATTTAAAACATTTGAGCCATTTAGCGACTTTTTCCCCAGTACTTTATTTCCAGTGAAAATAGCTATCCCTAAAGCATTAATCACGTTACCCTTTATTTAACAAGCACATTGAACCATGTGACATCTATTGCTATCTTTTTTTAGTTTTTAAATATGCACTGTTAATTAGGTTTTTGCATTATAATTATTCACAAGCCCTTTAAGGGCAAATACCATTTCTTATATCACTTTCTGTCTTTTCAGGACACCTAAAATATCGCCTTTGATATTTATTCATTCACTAGTCATTCAACAGTTTATATGTTTATCACGTGCCAGGGCTTGGGCATAAAGTCATTTCATCAGAACGCTCACACAAATCTTCTCTGAAACAGACAGAAGGGGCCCCAGACAATGTTGTCTGGAACAGAGGAGTGGAGAGACAGACGAAAGTCAAGGAAGTCTCCACAAAGGAGGTGACGCTTGGCTCTGTTCTGAAAGGACAAATGAGTAGAGATGTGCCAGGGGGAGCCAGGTGGGAAATTGATGCACAGGGGGCTTTACACATAGTAGGCACTCGATAAATAATTGTCTACTTGTTCTGGAATAAGTGGTATTGACTTGAAATCAGTGACCTTTCAACTCTGGGAGTCTGTGGGTCTCTGGGTTTTTTAAGCCATTAGAGGCCTATTTATTAAGTCAATGCTTCAGGCTTTCTTTGCACCAAAGAGTGTTTCTCTCCACTAACAGCACAGAAAACAGGACTACTTTAAAAAAAAAAAAAAAAAAGCATTAAAAAAAACCCTCAGGCTTGATGTCCATATGTCTATTCTAAAAGTAATATACACTGATTTTGGCATATTTGAAAAAGGCAGAAAATAAGAAAAAATACATTCTATCACAGCCATTGTTAATAAAGTGATGCATTTATTTCCAGTCTTCTTTCATTTTGTAAAGTTTTCGGTTTATTATTTTTATATGATTGTAATGGTATTCATTAACAGCACATATGTTAAACTAAAACCAACACTACAAGATATCACATGGTGCAATGTACAGAACTGGTAATTAAACAATTGAATGGTATTAATGCTTTAATAGTCACTTCTTTCATTGGAAATCAAGAGTAAGTATCATTTTAAGTATTAGTTTCGTTGGCTCCATACCATGGGAGTTCATAAGGAACACAGAACCTAATGAATCTTTCTGTTGTTGCACATTTACATTACTTCCAGGATTTCAGTGTTCTAAAGAATTCTGCAACGACAGGTTCAGGCACAGCGGCTGTACCCTCTGTATTTTTGATTCATTTTAGGATAAAGTCCTAGAATTAGAATGAACAGATCAAAACATATGATAGTTTTAAGACTTACAATCCGTATTGCTAAATTGTGTTTTAGAAAGATCATACCAAATCCCATTACTAACAGCTGTAAGAGTGGAGTGGTTTTTTTTTAAACTATTACAAGTATTGACTACTATCATGTAAGTATTTATAACTTTAATCATTTTAAAAAGTTGCTTAAATTTACATTTATTTGATTATTAATGAAGTTGAATACTTCCCCTTTTATCAGTTGGTTGTATTCATTTTGGATGTCTAAGGTGCAATTGACATTAAGTCAAAATCAATAGCTCAGGTCATCTACATAAAAAACTAAAATAAAAAAGCTTCTAGGTTTCTGCTAATTGCTACATCCTCCCGCTATAGGGAAACCAAAACAATCTCTCTAACCACGTATTTACAAAAAGAATACTTTTTAGAGTGTACAACATGTTTCAAAAGAACTCTGGGCCAAGTGCCCAAGGCCTTAGTCCATTTTCAATAGAATCTATCGTAATTTTGGGGCTTCCACGTCTATAAAAGTCATCTCTGTGCTTATTTTTTAACAGGTGTATTTCCTGCTTGACTCCAGGCTCCATAATGCCCAGCACTTGGCAGTCATGGTCAACATTGTTTCTCCATGGCCTGGGGGACAGCACCTCCCACCTCTGTCCATCCTACTTGGTATGATGTAGAAGAAGAAGTCTGGAATACAACTGAGGGGCACTTCATGGACTCAAAGGTCCTGAATTCTGTCTCCACACAGCCAGACCCTACAATAGCTTTTAATAAGCTGCCACTACTTGAGAGCACTGTGGTCCTTTCTTGAAGAAGTATTTAGGCACACTGAAAGCGCATCTCTACTTAGCATAAATGTGATTTGACCCTCCTAATCATTAGGCACAAAGCAATCATGTCTGTGCTATTGCTAAAGACATGGGATAATTAGCAGAGAGAAATTCCTCCAGCCAGTGTGGCTACAAATAGAAAACTTCTGTTCAACTTCTGAATTTTCTCCATTTGTGATACGTCTTAGTTTATACCCGAACATCATGAAAATTCATATACAATACATGATTTTGACCTCAG